CTGCTTGTGCAACATGTCACAAAGTCTTAAACTGAGCCCTGCCTGTCAGCGCTTCTCTGACGGATGGAAACCCAACACGGTTTGGATCACAAAGGGAACCCAGGTGGCTGTGACGAGCCGTGGCGCCGAGCCCAGACTGGTACCTGAAAACTTGGCCCAAAGTGTTTTAAAAAGGAACTGTAGACTTGTACATATTTCTCTAACTGCTGCTTTTTCTTTATGATAGTGGAATTGTAATAAATTCTGAAAACCTTGAATGTTGACCTTCTTTTCTGTTTGTGAGTGCCATGTCAAACTCGAGGCCCGCGGGCCAAATGCGGCCCGCCAGAAGTTTTCATGTGGTCTTTTACAGAGATTATAGATGTGCTTAAATATTACCTTACTAAAACATAGCCACGAGTTTCTTCTTTGAGGAAATATCAGCAACATTGTTGCAGGTTTTATTGTTTTCTTTGAAACACTCTGAGCGCAGGCATGTCACCACTTGTCCTCTGTCTACATTCATTGGGCTTACACCATTCACTGCAGTTGCGCTGCAATGGTCGCTAGATGGCAGTGTTGCACATTTGAGAACATGATCGTATCAGAAATTTGTATTGGAAGTGAATGTAGCAATCAAAATAATAGAAAATAGATAAATTTGTTAAGCTTTAAGCAGTAGAAAATAAGATCCAGGTTTAACTTTTGTGGCCAAATTTTGTCATATGTATTTATGATTAATTATAGTGTTAGGTTTTTTTTTAAATTTGGAAAACTAGGTGTAATTTTTTTTTCAGTTTTAATTAGGGTTTTTTGTAGACTTTTTTTCCTTTTTATTCCCTACAGTCTTGGATGACATCCAGCTGGAAATATATATATTTTAACTTTTGTACAACTACGATGCAAAAGCAAATGAGGTGGATTAGCAGAGCTAGACAACAACAGATGACATCATTCAGGACATGACACTATAGAAATGTAATCTGAGCTGCCCAGATATCTAGCACATCATGATAGTCATGACATCATGTGATAGTAGGGTCTACCAGTAAAGTAGACCCTACTATCACTACAAACATCAGTTATAAAGCTTTAGCTCCTTCATTAACTCTGTGTCACACAGCAACAATCTTCAGTCAGAGGCCTCTTCAGACTTGTTGCAGGACTGACTGCTACTGGAGTTCCAACATCATTGACTTTTTGAAGATATTTGGATATTAGCAGCATTTAATTTCCCTTTGGCATAAATATTTGTTGAATTATGCTGCGTTAAACAATGAACATTGACTCATTGTACAAATATATTTGCAGGTAAATTCAGCAAACTACAAACTGATGCGGTTAAAAAAAAAGATAGATTTAAAGATGTGAAATTATTCTCTGAATTTATGTTTTAACATTTAAGGAATTTGATTACATAATTCTATATTTTAGTTTTTGTAACATTAGCAACATTTTTTATTTGTACTTCAGTATTGTTTTATTCAATTACAGCACAAATATTTACTTTCTGCCAGTTTTCCTTTATTGCCCATTCATTCGTTTACATTATAAACCACTAATACATCACCAGCCACCAATCTCTTCCTTTAAATTTTTTTGTTTTACTTTTGTAGATCATTTTCACACTAATGTAAGCAACATCAGCAAGTTAACACATAAAGCTCAGCATTTCAAGAAACAAGACAGTTTAGTAACAATAATACAAAGGGATTTTTCAGCTTCCCAAAAAAATAAAATTAAGAATTAGCATAATAAAATTAATTTATTCAAAGTAAAAATACAAAATAATATTAATGACATGACCAGATATGAAGTTTGTAAAGAAATATATGAAATAAAAAAAATGTAAATATGTTTGAATTCCTTTTTTTTCTGCAAAACTCTTAAAAAAAAAAAGAAAATTTCTCAGTACAAAGGCTACATTACTACTGGAAGGTACTAGCAGGTAGAGTAGGTAAATACACAGTAGAAAATGATTTTAGTGGATCACAACGCTTGCAATGAAAATAATTTCGCAATAAGATTTTATGCCTCTTTTTCTCATTTTCTTCTTTTCTACAAACGGTACAAACAGAGTATTGCACATTACGACAAAGAATCAAGGTTGTTAGCCTTAAAAAGGAGGAAGGGGGCGGGGCTAATTCAAGTCTCGCGTGAACAGAAAGGCCACCAGTCAAATTGATGCACCTTGGGGGCTTTCAATCAAGCTACAGGTGATAACATTTGTGTGTTTAGTGTTAAAAATAACATTCTTCTCTTTTTCTGTGTCCAGGGACTTTCAGAAGTCTTTTTGTTTCTCCCAACTACGTCAGGACAGCAAAACAATTTTTTCTTTTTTTTTTGCTATTTTTTTTTTATTTATTCTCTTTTATTTTTATTTTTTTTACAAAACAAAAAGAAAAAAAACGAGAGCACATACTTTTAGGAAACATAAAAAACTTCTCTTAAAAAAAATAACGAACAGAAGATCTCTTTCACAACTCTGGTCAGCATAGATGATTGGTTATAAATATAAAAAAGGTCGGGAATCTGCTTTAATTTCTTCTCAGAGCACCTGATATTTGAGCTTTCTGCTCTCTCAACCAATTAAACCAGTGGGAATCCTGCTTCTAAACCAGTAAAGTAGAGCCTACTATCACTACAAACATCATTATATTAGTTATAAAGCTTTAGCTCCTTCATTAACTCTCTTTAAAAAAAATAAATTCTTAAAATAAAAACATAAAAAATCATCTCTCTTGAAGAATTAAATTAATATACATTTGTCCATCTGAATAAACTTAGAAAATATGTTTCTCTCCTAATATATGTCAAAACTGAGGTATTGCAAAGGATTTTTTTTTTAAATCAGTCTTTCAAAAAAAAAAAAACTGCTGACTGTTGCAAACTGTTTTCAGATACAAAGTGTAGTGCACAACAAATACAGGAAAAATAATAAAAATAATCATAAAGAATAGAAAACTGGGTAAAAAGGGGGCAAAGAAATGTTTGAAAAAATAAAAACTCTCCCCAGAATTCACTCATTATTCATCAGGAATATTATCTCTTCTGCTCAGGTCCAATTAGTTTTTCTTAAACAGAAACACAAAAGCAGGAAAAACAACAGTTTACGACTGAAAACAGTAACACACACACACACACAGTTTCCGTCACCATCATCATTTTTTTCAGCTTTTAATAGAACCCAAAAATATATAATGTCCACCTTTATTTTTATTTCATTTATTTAGCAGGTCCGGTACTTCAAGCTTTGCAGGAGACAAAAAAAAAAAAAAAACTATTAAAAAATCTGGTGATTGCGTCACACATCTTCATCTCCGCCATTTTTCCCATTTTTAAAAAAATATATCAGCATGTGTAAGGGCTCAGTTTATCAATCTCAGATCTCCAGTAGCTTTATGGGGTTTTTTCTGCTTAATCACTCTCCAAAATAAAAATAAAAAAGACAAACAAGTGAGCTCTTTGGTTGCGTTGTGACGTAAAAACGCTTTTGTCAAGAGTTGGAACGAACAATAAAGTTTTGCGTGCGTGAACAATATAGTTTTACGTGTTCGTTTTTTTTTATTTAACCCCGCTCACATTTTTGTCTTTTCTTCAGGTCAGATTCGACGTTTTTGGCCTGAAAACCTTCCGTCCCAGGTGTGTGTTCGTGTGTATCCAGACGTGAATCAGTGAGAATATTTTACATTTATATAACCGACGGATATACGTGTGCATATGCTAGCTAGTTTATGAAGTTTCACAGGACTTCTATGTCGGACACTGATGACAGTTAAAGCGAATCACAGTTCTAGGCAGATCTAACTACGTACAGTATAAAAAAAGTAAAAAGAAAGAAAATTGCACAATTATAATCAACAATCACCGCAAATAAAGTACTTCACCTATTACAGGTTTTAATTGTAGTCCTACACTTCATTTGTGAGTAATAGTTTAAAAACCGCCGTCGTCCTGATCTGCTCGCGCGGCGTTGCTATGGTTACCTGTTCCCGTCCAGTTTAAACGTACAGCGTCGTGCGAAAAGTATTCACAGCGCTTTAACTTTTTTCATATTTTCCTTGCACCAAAATCACGCACTTTAATGTGTTTTAATGGGATTTTTATGTGATTGATCAACAGAAAGTACCGCAAGCTGAAGCGGGAAGAAAGTTTTAGAACAAACGTCGCCATCTTTACTTTAATTTCCCTGAATAAAATCCAGTTTTACCTAAATATTAGCATCCAGCTGTTTGTAATTTTATTTCAGGCCTCAAATTAATTAAACATATTGATATCGGCTCAATAAATTAAAAAAAGTTGATATTTATTTTCATCTTACTGACATTTGGTTTTGGCTATTTTTTTTTACTGGTGTCAAAACGGTAGAGAAATATTTATGATGTAATATCATAAATATTGGTCCAATAACCAGTGGTAAATATTGGTTACTGGACATAAATCCAATATTAATTTTGATATCGCTATCAATCCAATTTTTTTATTTCAGTGCAGTGCAAGTGTTCAATCTAAATGTGAAAATCTGAGAGATGCACTAAAAAGTAGCACACTGCAACACCACCAAATCTTGCCAAGTATTTTTGCTCCAGTTTCTAGTGACAAAATATAATTTACAAGTAATTTTTCAACAAGATATAGAGACTTGTTTAAAGTAAATAATTCCTTAATATTGGTCAAAAAGTGCTAGTTATATTGGCAGATTATTTGACTAACAACGGCCCCTGCACCGTTACCTAGCAACGCCAGCCAAGCCCAGCCCGTTACCTAGCAACCCAGTTCTAGTTCCACTGGCAGATTGTTTCACTTTTAACGAGAAAAATGTCTTCTTGTGGAAAAAATAAATCCAACATTCCTTATCAATATTAATGTATATTTATTTAAAACAAGACCCTGTTTATTGTTTAAAAGTTACTTGTAAGTTATTTTTTTTCTTATTTTAAGTAAGACCAAAAATACTTGGTAAGATTTTCTGTTTCTGCAAAAAGAAATGTTCAGATATCTGGGGGCCGGAGTATATTCCATTGTTCACCTATTGAGATTTTTAATTTGCAAATTTCCTCTACTACATAAATTACTTTCCATTGCTCTAATTTTATAAAATCCCAGTAAAACACCATCAAATTTTCAGTGATCTGATGTGCGAGTCCTTCAGCAGGGTGTAACACGGCTTGCAGTGCGTTGTGCAAAACATGGCCAGAATCAAAATAAAAACAAAAACCTGCAGACATGATACTGAAAAAGTGTTTTGCATGCAGTAGCCTGACTAGAACATGCAGTTAGGGGCGACCCCTGACCTCAAAACGTCGGCCATCATTGCCTGAGACAACTCGTCGTCCTGAAACACCGGCTGCTTCTGAATTCCTCGCTGGGAAAATAAAATAAAGTACTTAAGTTATCTGTTCATACCATGGGATTTAGCAGCAAAGCTCCCGCAGCAGTTACATTTACATTACACAAAAAAAATTATGTTATTATAAAAATAAAGACCTAGATATCGAACGCAAACTAATCTGATTGTGAGGTATGAACATTTACAGAGAATATATCAGTTGTCTTCAGAGCTGGTAATTGTTGCTACATCTGATGCCGCCTAACTTCTGCATTTATTCAATTAGCCTTTGGTAGTTTTTTTATTTATTTATTCTTCTTTATGATTTTAACTAGGGGCGACGTAACTACAGTTGTTTCAAAGTAAGTGCATGCTCCTTTTGCATAAAATTTAAACCATCTATTTAACGTCTAGATAAGTACAAAAAAAATAGAGCTATGTGTATTTTTAAATACGTGAGCGGTCCCGAGGGGGGACATACCGAACCGTCCCGTGTGTGTGTACGTGTGTATGTGTGTGTTTTATAGTGAGACTTTGTGCCAAAGTGCAAATTGTAAGCTGGTGGAGTTTTTCCTCCCCACAAAGCTTTGACAACGAGTTCAGAACCGAGAATCTGATCCGTTTCGCATTTTTTCCATGTCGGGTGAAGCCGGCGGGAGCTGTTGTCATTTCTTCTTCTTCGTCTGGGTTGAGGATAGTGCAGATCCGTGACCCCCCGCTGACCCCGCTGGCCCGCCGTCCTCAGCTCCAGCGGAAGGAGACGTGTCGAGGGCGGTCGCCGCCCTCCTTCACCAGCGGCTTGTGGAACTCGCGGCCGGCCCGGGAGTGGATGCTGGCCCAGCAGAACTCGCAGTAGTACTGCAGGCAGGTGACGTTGGCACAGAAGAACGGGGCGAACTTGCCGCCGCAGCGCGCGCCCTGGCACTCGTCGCACATCTGGTCGTCCAGGACGTACGGCTTCACCTCCACCTGTAGGGGGAGACGCAGAGAGGTCATCAAGAGTTCAACAAGTCCTGGCAAAATCAACAAAAAAATAAAAATTATGGTCACAAGATTACTGCAAAAATACAAAATATTATCAAGTAATTTTGGCCCAACTTACTACATTTTAAATCAGAGAAAAATAACTTACAAGATAGCAAGATATAAGAGCTTTTATTCTTTTTCGAACATAATAGCAGGATAAAATTACTCACATGAACAAGGAAAAGACACATTTTCAATCAATTATAAGGAATTGCTGATTTAAAACAAGTTCCCATCTCTTGCTGAAAAGCTGCTTTTCAGTTACTTTTGTCTTATTTATCTGCGATAGAATCCAGACCAAAAACACATGATCAGATGTCGTGTTTTGGCAGTTTTCTCCCCTAATTGCTGTTATTGTGCAAGACTTGTGTTCATAATAAAGCCCTTGCCGCCCCCAACTGAAGATAAACGACGTTAGCTGAGGTGGGCTGGACCCGACTGGACCGGGCCGGCCCACCCTCCCGGCTGACGCCCAGTCTGTCTCGGTCTCAATCGGCCGGTGCGCCTAAAATAAGGGAGCTGTGGCGCAGCTGGACATTCACGCATGGGGAACTACTATAATTAAACCGGCTCTATGTGTCTGCAACCTGAAACATCTGTTGAGATGCAGAGTGATTACACAGCCGGGCCGGGCCTTCCGGTTCTGTAGGCTGCAGAGAAGCTTCTGGCAGAGCAGGAAATAAATATACTTAACAGAGTATTTGGTAAAAAATCTACTCAAGTACTGAGTAACTGATCAAATTATCTATCATACATCATCAGACGGACCAAAATTTAAAGTGGAAATGTTGATATTTTAAAATTACAATAATTCATATAAGTAACAAAAAATAACAAAATCAGGCAAAAAAAATATTTTTTCCAAATCAGTTTCTCACTAAAATCATGAAACTGCAGGTGTGATAGAAATACTTCATAATCACAATTGCGTAGTAACTAGTTAAGCACATTTTTTCAAAAAAAGTTACTCAAGTAACTGAGTAAATGTAACCAGTTACTCTGGCAGCGCTAACGTCTCTCTCTGGTGAACTCGCTCACCCTTTTGTCGATGTCGTTGTGCTGCAGCTGGACAAAGCGGGCGCTGATGGCGGCGATGTAGCTCTGCTGGTTGGAGAACGCCACGCGCCCGGCTCCCTTCGGATATTTCAGCTCCGGGTCCGTGTCGATGCCGGCGTAGCAAACGCCTCCATACAGCCGATCCATTATCATCGCTAGCTCCACTGGAAGACGAGAGGAAAACACGGAGCCAAAAATAAGACTGGGTTTCCTCTATAATACACTGCAAAAATACTAAAAATCTGTGTTATGGGGGGGGAATTAACATATCTAAATACTTTTAGAGCTTCAGCCAAAACATGCAAGCGTAGACTGTAAAAACAAAAATCTGGCCAAATATTTTTGGTCTAGTTTCAAGTGCAAATATCTTATTACACTTAAAATGAGAGAAATCAAACTTACAAGTAACTTTTCAGCAAAATAGAGGAGCTTTTCTAAGTCAATAATTCCTTAATATTGATTGGAAAAAAAAAAAATTCTACCAGCAGATTATTTAACTTACAACATGACAAAAATGTGTTTTAAGTGAAAAAAAAACAACCATTCCTTATTTTAAGTTTTTATTTTTCATGTAGGAGTCATTACAAAATTACTACATAATTCTCCGAATGTTACTGCTTTATTCTTGTATTATTTCGACTTTATTTTCTTAATATTCTGGGCTGATCCTCACGTTCTGGCTTATATCTCATGATATTAAACTTTATTCTGATATTATCAAGAGTTTGGTTTTACATATTTGTTAAAACTGTCTCCATGTCTTGACAGTTTAATAAGAAACAGACCAAACCAAAAACAACCAATCAGAGCCAGGAGGCGGGGCTTATCGCTGCCAATCAACCTCAGATCCTGGACTTGTTAAATGTGGTAATGGCGGAGAAACCACTTAATGTTGCAGGAAAACGGTTTATCTGCTGTCATCAGTAGGCTAACTAGCCTTAGCATTTATGACAGGGGCTCGGGTGATGATTGACAGCACTAAGACCCGCCTTCTGGCTCTGATTGGTTGCTTCTAGTTTGGACTCTCATATTAAACTGTCACAATATGGTGACAGTTTCAACAAAACTATTTTGTAGAAGTTAGGCAATGCAGCTTTAATGATTAAGAGGGACAAAAACATCCAGTTTTATTATTAGTAGTTGACTGATTTCCTCTTTCTAAAATTGAACAAAATTTCCCACCCTGTCTCCCACTAACAGCAGCAGCAGCAGTTTCAACCTGCTGGGGGTAATTATCTGGGGGTCAGATTGCAGACAAGCTAGCGATGCTAATCCCGCTAAGAGAAAGGCTCAACCTTCCATTAGCTCATGAATTCCTAACGCGTTGACCTCTGGGTCGCCCTCCTGGGAACCCAAGACGAAGATTGCTTTCTCACCGGGAGATGCTTCATTACTGCCTTACTGCCTCTGGCTGCGGTTCACCTTATGAAGCGCATTTGGAGGCTTTAAGGGGCAGAAGCTGCAGGATTCATAACGGAGGGCTACCTGCACGCAGGGGCCGGGGAACCCCTCCAACGAAGATGGTTTTGCGCGGATCCAGAGGCTGGGAGCCGTCCATGACGAAGTCGCTGTCGCTCAGGTTCCAGGGACGGATCTGGACCTGCAGAAAAACAAGAAAAAAATAAACAAAATGGAAAATATTTCAGCTAAAGCTGAAATATAGGCGAGGAAAAGCGCTACAGAGTTAGCATGAAGCTGTGTGATACGGAGAAAATGGGCAGGAAGTGAATATTTAATCTGTTAACGAATCAGCCTCAGATTATCATCAGTACACTGCAAAAACAAAAATCTTACCAAGTATTTATCGTTTTCTTTCTAGTACAAATTTCTTAGTACGCTTGAAACTAGAAATTAGACCAGGGGAGTCCAAAGTGTGGCCTGGGGGCCATTTGTGGCCCTTGAAATCATTTTGTTTGGCCCCTGATCACAAGAATGTCAGAAAACAATCGACGCCCCAAAAATGTGAAAATTGTCTTTTTTATCTTTTTAATAAGGCCACAGTTTGAAGCCCTGTTTACTTTTTAAATAATATATAGATTTCATAAAATTATAGTTTATTGTTGAATAAAAAACAAAACTGAACTAATTTTTGCATTTTTAATTTAACAAATTTTGTGAACCACCAGTAGCTTAAATTTGCAAGTTTTGGTCCCCAGTTCAAAAACTTAACACCAGTAAATTAGACAAAACTAATTTAACTGCTCAGTTTAAGTCAACAATTCCTTAATATTGGTGAAAAATATTTGTTCCCCAGGCAGATTAACAACTAGGAAAAAATGTCTTGTTGCAGGTGAAATAATCTGCCAGAGAACCAGTAACACTCACTGGTTTGTCCTTGATGGTGGGACTGGACACACACAGGTAGAGCTTCCCGTCCTCCTCAATGCAGGCGTCGATCAGCGCCTGGACTGAAGCCTCTTCCTGGAAAAGCAGGAAGGCGTAACCTGGAAGAAAATGATTTTCAGGAAATATGACCTCCAGAGGAAATAAAAATAATCATATATTCAAACAATTTAACAGTTCCAGCGAATAAGTGCAGGCAAAAACATAAAGTCTAGTTTCTAGAGCAAATACACTTGAAATAAGACAAAACTAATTTAGAAGTAAACTTTGAGTTTAAGTAAATAATTCCTTAATATTGATGAAAAAGTTTAGATCCACTGGCAGATTATTTCACTTTTAACATTGGAAAAATGTCTTGTTATAAAATAAATAATCTGCCATTCCTTATTTTAAATTAGTATTTTTCATGTAGGAGTTATAATAAAATTACTACTTATTTCTGCTAATTTTACAGCTTTACTTACAGCTTTATTTTGACTGTCATACGGCTTTTCTCCCATTATTACGACTTTATTCTCATATCATCATGACTTTTTGTTGTACACTTTTATTCTCGTATTATTACAATTTATTCTGATAATTTGCCTTGTTGTACGATTTTATTCTTGAAGAACTATGACTTTATTCTCACGAGATTAGGGACTTTATTCTTATATTACAACTTAATTCTTGTGATATGAATATTTTCTTGTATTACAACTTTATACTCATTACTTTTTGTAGTACAAATTTATTCTTGTAATATTACAACTTTTTTGTATTATTACAACTTTATACTAGTAATATTATGACTTTATTCTCATAATAATGTGACTTCTATGACTATTCTTGTGTTATTAGGACTTTATTCTAGTATTACTGTGACTTAATTCATGTAACAACAACTTTCTTCTGGTATTATTGCAACAGTCTGATAACATGACTTTATTCTCGCTTTATTTTGACTCGGTGTAAGGGTACCAGCACTTTTTTCATCCATCTTAAGGAATTAATGGTGGTAAATACATTCCTATATTGTGCTGAAAAGTTACTTTTAAGTTAGTTTTGTCTCATTTCATGTGTTGTAAGATATTTTCACTAGACCAAAAGCACACAGTCATGTTTTGTGTTTTGCTCCTCAGGGGAACCGTTCAATATTTAGCAGCCCAACGCACTGAGTGACGGGGTTTTGTGCAGGAAAGAAAAAAGAGAAACTTTCTCAGACTTTCTGCGTCATTTAATGCCGAGAGCAGAGACCTCCTTCAAGGTCAGAGCGACAGAAAACCGATTCAACATCCATCTAACGAATTAGAGGCACCAAAAAAAGACAAAGATTCAGCTGAGATGTAAACATCAGTGGAAATGGATAAAAACTAAACATTTATATCTTCCGCTTCTTTTATTCACAATGTCATTTTGTTCCTCTTCATTAAAATTGGTAAATTACCATCTAATCTCCTCCTGACCCATGTCTAGTTTATAGTATATTTTCTCAATTTCATCCTAATCCAGAACTAGAAAAACTGAAAACCACATTTTTACATCGTCAGCAGGGTTCGTACTTTATCCACAGTAAAATTCAGCATTTATGAAGCAAGTTTTCACATTTTTCCATCAAAAACAATACAAATGAACTAAAAACTGTTTAAATTCACAATTACATGATACCATTTATTAATTAACGTTTTGTGTTTCTATTCTACATTCAACAGTAGGAATAAAGCAAACTAAATTAAAACAACAATTAAGTAATCGATTAATAGTCAACTGGAGTATAGAGACTCAAAAAAAGCCAGTTTGCTGAAAGAGCAACACAATCAGAGCAGGAATTAAACCAAAACTGCAAAAAACAAACAAATGTTGCATTTAAGATAAAAAATAAAAAAAAACCTTTGTCTGTATTTATGTTTAGCCAAATCTACTTTTAGGCACCTTTTACTGACCGACTATTAATTAGTTTATCCAAAAATAGTAAGCAGATGTATTTCTAATATTGCATGAAAAGGGCAAAAATAAAAACTACTGATGATTAACTGATTAATTATCAAGATACATGATAATAAAAATAAACGGTAGTCGTAGCTGTGAAAATAATCTGGTTTCTACTGTAAAAGCTTTACAAATTTAGGCTTTTAATCAAATGTTACATTGAATTTTATTACAAAATTTCAGTTAGAATATCAAGCACTTTCCAAACCTTGAAAAATTTTAAGGATTTTAAGCACTTAAATGAACCCTGAAACTGATCTGGTTAAAGAGCAGCAGCTGTTGGTGCGTCAGCTGTTCTTTCCCGTTGGCGTTTATGTGTCAGGGGAATAAGAAGTGATCTGATTGGCTGATTAGGATCAGAAACATCCCGGCGTGTCGCCCGGCGGCCAGAGGAGACACACACACACACACACACACACACACACACACACACACACAAACACACACAGAATGTGCAAAAGTGGAGGAGCTTAAAAATTATGCTCTTTTTTTTATCATTTAATTTTGATTTCATACCTTCCTGAGTGGAGCTGCTAACGTTGAGACGAACAGAGAAAAGGAGGCGACAAAAAGAAACGGCTGACTCAGAGAGCGAGAAAAGAAAAGGAGCAGAGAAAACATTCAGATTCAGAAAGGAAGGAAATACAAAAAGAAAAGGGAGGGAGGAAGAAAGGAGGATAGGAAAGAATGGAAGAAGACAGGAAGGGAGGACAAAAGGACACGAGAAGGATGGAAGACATGAATGACAGATTTGAATAAAAAGGAAGGAAGGAAGCATGAATACACGAAGGAGTAAAGGAAGGAAGGATGGCAGAAAGAAAGGAAGTGGAGAAGAAGAAGAAAGGAAATTAGATTTCTACATCTGACAGAATCTGAAAATCCGATGTTTAACTGAATTATTTCTGTACATATCCAGAACTTTAAGGACAATCCTCAGTTCCATTAAACGTTTACAATAATCCAAAAGGATGTAATTAATTAAAACCATTATTTACACAGCAGGGCTAAAACACAAACCGCTACCAGCTGCTTTAAACATCCAAATAATCCCTCTGCTAATTGGGTTCACACACCGGAAAGCTGCCTCATCATCGGCCGGCTGACGCTTACGTAAGGACGGGATGTCATTCGGATAAATCTGAGGTTTAGGACAACATCATCGCCCCTCAGAGAGAGAGAGAGAGAGGAGGGGAAAAACCTAAACGGGGTAAAAATAAGGCACGAAAAGGCAGAGCTAGCCAGCAGCTCTTCCAGTCTGAGAGAGAACAACATGTTCTGTGACTCGGAGGGGGAGGGAGGAGATGGAAAAGAGTAAAACAGGAAAGGAAAGGTGGGAAGAGAATGAATGAGGCTTTACAAGCTGAACGTTCAGAAATAGGCTCTGGTGAGCAGGAGCCTTTCAGGAAGTGGAGAAAAGACGCTGAAGGTGAAACAAAATGCCGATTTCAACTGAACTAAGCCACCGACTGAAACTAGGCCGCTTTAACGAGACAATATTTGCACTTTTCTTGGCTTAGAAACGGGACTTGGTGCGCAAAAATTTCCATTTTGAACAGTTTTGTGCTTCATTTGGGTCTCAACTGCTTCAACCAACAGACTAAGAGCTTTAAAAGAAAAAACAACTAATCGTTTCTGGGAATAAGTTCATGGTTTTAGGTGTCTGGAAAATTAAAAAACATTCAGAATGTAACGTCACAAACCTGCAGGCTCTGCCTCTAGCAACCCCAGTCCGGTACCTCGCAACCCAAGTGGAGCTCCAGCACGTTTGGTCAGCTGGATTTAAAGCTGCTAGGAAAGACATTCTTGTTGGTTGTGCAGAATTCTCCACTTCTGCTTTTCAAAGATGTACGGTTGCATAATTGCGCATTGGTTTGCAGCCATTTTCACGTGCGAGTGTAAATGTTGAGTTGGGCATCGTGGCAGCTACTACTGCCAAAAAAACAGCTCATTCTGAAAGGAGCTCAAAACTGGCAGAAGTGAGCAGACTGCCTAATTGTGGATTACATTATTTAGCACAAAATAATTCTAAGATATTGAGATTTCAACCATTCATCTTTGAAAAGCAGAAGTGAAGCCTCCTGCACAACCAACAAGGAGCAGGTGGTTTCTGGATGGTGAGTCAACAACAAAAACATATCTTCTCCAGCAGCCATTGCTCAGCAAATACACCGGTAAAACCAGCTGACCAAAGGTGCTGGAGCTCCGCTTGGGTTGCTAGGTAACAGGTTAGGCTTGGCCGGTGTTGCTAGGTAACAGTGCTGTGTCCCCAGAGTGTGGCTTAATCAGGAGGTTTTTGAACTGGATCATTTTCCAGTCACCAAAAGATACGAACTTGTTGGCTGAATGTTTTTTTTCAAGCGCTTAAAATCATCATTTGAATGTATTTTCTATTTGTTTTGGGTATTTCTCCAAGATGTAATGGCTTTGTTTGATTATCTAAAAAAACACCTAAGTGAGAAACGTCAGAAGGAATAGATCAGTAATGGTGAGTGTGGACAGGGGTTCTTTATAGCAGCTTGTCAATGTGTAGGAAATATTAGCGTTTCTCCAAATCAATGTGACCCACTTCATCATCTTTAATCTGAGCTGATATTCAGTCCAGTTGCTGCTGAGGATGTGTCTGCCTCCGTCAGCCTGGCGCAGTGCGGAGGCTTATGCCACGGGAGGAGAGCGGAGAGCCGCAGTGGCTCGTGCCTGCGATTTAGAAAGCTTTCCTCCTGAGCTCTCAGCACCGTCTGCTAAGTAAGGCGATCTGTACACCATGAAAGAGCAAAGAGCTGGACGGATACTTTCCTGAATCATGGGGAGGCGACATATTGTCACATTACCAGAAGACGTCACTCTCAGCAGACCCTTCATTAGTCTTGATGTGTTCAGAAGTAACTTAATGTTCATTATTTAACGGTTTCTTTCCATGTTGCAGCAACGATAGAGCAACAGTAATGAATTTTACCAACAAAACCTTTGCGTGCGATTACACCAATGTGGGTGGAGCCAAGAGAGACTGAGGGAATGAGTGAAGAATTAAACAAATTTACATGAAATGTACAACTGAAATAAATCACTAAAATCTCTAAACTAATATAATATTCAGACTCTAAAATGAGTAAATTTGAACTCCACGTCCAGGCAGTTAGGTCACACCCCCCCGTTGGTGTTAAATTAAGTCTTTTGTTCATTTTTATTTTTTAAATGAAGTGTTTTTGAATGAAGTTTTTAAGTTTAGGTAGATTATTCTGCTGCTCCCCTCCTACTCCACATGGCTCAGTTGGTGCAAACGACACCCAAGTCACCAAGGGGTCAGTCACTTAGCAGAGCGCAAGCATCTTTCCACTGGCACATCAAAGCCCGAGATCGAAATCCAAGTCTTCCCGCTACCTCATCAAGTGAAAGTTATGTTGACTTTGCGGAAATCTAATCCAATGATGACCAGATATGGCGACTGACCGAGTCATGCTGCTGGCTTCTCTGGCTTAAATGGTGACATTCAAGTCCAGGTTTATCTCAGCAGCTGAGACGTGTCTGCGGATTGGTTCCCAACGAGCACAAGGCCCGCCGAAAGAGCCCAACCTTCAGAAATAATGCCACCTGAACAACACGCTTCTACATGCTATGATTTTTTTAAAGGGGACCCGTTAAGTTAAAATTCACATTTTCCACATTTTTGTACTTCCATTTGTGCCTCTAATGATTCCTAAAAAAAAAAAAAAAAACACACACCACCCCCAGACGCTTTTTTGGTGTCTGGAAAGTGAGTTGTTTCAAAAACCTTCTGAATGTAAAGTCACATCAGCCCAGCCGGTTACCTAGCAACTCCAGTGGAATTCCGCCCGTTACCTAGCAACCCAAGCGGAGTTCCAGTGCTTTTGGTCAGCTGGTTTTGCCGCTGTATAATGGCTGCTGGAAAAGACAAGTGTTTTGTTATTGACTTAACATCCAGAAACAACTTGTTGCATTCTTGTTGGTTGTGCAGGAGGCTCTACTTCTGCTTTTCAAAGATGTATGGCTGATTTCTGCAAAAAATGTGACAAACATGTTTTGAATAGCCCATAGACATATTCTAACCTTTAAGTTTTACTTTATTGGAGACAGAATAACCTTGAAGAAAGAGAGAGAGTGAGAGGATGAGAAAAACCTCAAAGGCTTAGAAAAACTGGAAAGTACTTGAGGATAAAGCAGAGAAATCAAGCATTGCTAATCATCTCAATTTGAAGCAGTCACTCAGAGTGTAATCCCAACACAACGGGGGAAAAGATAAATCAAGGCCTGGGTAATGGAGGAAGATTTAGCACTGAAACTGGGGCACTTCTCTCTATTCAAAGAGACATAACAGTACACAGAACAGACCTCTGCGCTGAATGACTCATGCTGTGATAAAAACTAAATTATAAAACGCTGATCATGACCATCTGCAGGCAAAGGACACTGCAGTTGTAACCTTTTCAAGGTACGGTTATTGCTGTGTGACGCAAGCGT